AAGGTGTTTGTTAAAAAGGCAAAATTCAAGGTTTAGTTTCAAAACAACACATGCCATTACCAGAACTGTGAACTTTGTATTCACAGTTAGCTCTGAAAAGGCACACAAATATTTAAAGGGGTTGAATTTTGAGTGTAAAGTGTTTTTCTTTTTTTTATTATTTGAAATTGCTCAAATCAGTGGTTCATCTGACATCGACTATCACTGATAAATATACGAGCAGGCTCAGTAATTATTAAAATGATAGTCCATCCAGTCATTATCTTCCGCTTGTTCTGAGTCAGGTCTRGGGGCAGCAGCTTGAGCAGGAATGTCCAGACCTCTCTTTCTCCAGCAACCTCTTCCAGCTCTTCTGGGAGAGTTCCAGTGTGTTCCCAGGCCAGCTGCAGAGACATAGTTTCTCCAGCATGTCCTTGGTGTCGGACCTGCCTGAAGCACCTCCCTATGGAGGCGCCCAGGAGGCATTCTTACCAGATGAATCACCTCAACTGGCTCCTTATCATAATGCTAACCCCTACTTTGGACTAGATGCGGCTCCGCTCTGGTCTGGTCRGACCTCTGCAGTAAATACACAACCATTCTAATCAATAAGACTATTTCCACTGGCTCCGCARGGRGGTGGTGAGCGGATGGTGTTCCGCCAAAATTTGATTCYATTCTATTTTTGCCAGATGCCGGAGCTGCTCTGGAGTCAGTCTATAAAGAGCACGCAGACCAACAGGAAAAAGAACAAGCACAACATCCGTATTTTCAAAATAATTCACAAAAAGCTGACAAAATTTGTCTCAATTCTAGCTATATTATCAGTATATGATATATTTATACACAAATGCTGTCAAAATGTATTTTTCTGTTTGGGAAGCAGATGGCAGCATGTAGCATGCAGCATTTGCGTAAACACATAATACACGTGGTTTTTATTTTGAAATCAGGAGTTTCAAAATAACAATGCATTTTCAACTGTGTTTGGAGTCCATCTTTCACAGAATTAATTATTTTGCACGGACTTCCACATTTACCACTGGATTTATCGTGCAATCTCGCATTTCCTGCTCATGCTTCTCGCACCTCCTCTGATCATTTTTCCATTTAGCTCTTTTTCCATTTTATTCATTTTATTATAAAAGTGTGCTGGCTGGACCCAATGCCAGTGTTGTGGAAAATCACAACCACAGATTTTGCTCCAGCCACCATCTCAGATGTGTTATTGAATGAATTTGATATTATGTTTTTAAAATAAAGATACATTTTTAACCATTATTGTCTTGAACTGCTTTTGTAAAGAGATCAGTTTATGTTGTGGAAAAAAATAGGCTGTTTTTAAAGCAGAAAATCAAAACCTCGATTTGGGTTTTGGCTTAGAGTTGTGTTTACTGTTAGGGATGTATTTGATTTAGGTTGTTTCATTCTCCCTTCATGCAACATGTGGAGCACACATGTAATACATGTGTGCAAAGACCGAACCTCTTTACATGTCCCTTTCATTGAACTTGGTTGCTGTGTTGTTGCTGATGGCTTTGGTCCACAGCAGAGCACTGAAATTGCCATGATCATAATGTTGGAGCTCCCCTCCAGCGGGCTCCAAGGATGAATGTTTGCTGTGGATATTAGAGGGAAGCCAGGGCAGCATAAGATGGCTCTTTTTGAATATGAGAGCGTAAAGTGAAAGCTCTGATGGCGCAATAGCTGTGAAAGCACTGAAACGGGGCAAAACACTCCCACAGAGAATTTAGGTTTCCAGAGTAATGAAAGATGAATGATCCCATCATTCCAAATTTGTTTCAGCTTCAACTTTGCTATTTTTTCTTTGCAATTTTCACTCTTTTTTAAATTTTATACCCATTCTTTTCCTTTACACATTTGTTTTTCTCAGATCTGATGCTTCCTAAATTATTATAGCCTATTTAAAATATGTTTGTTCATCCCCTTGTGGTGATAAAAGCCTCCCATTAGCTGTTCATATTTATTTACTCAACATTAGTGACTTTAAACAATCAAAGCTACAAAATGGAACTAAACAGTGGTGGTCTAAAGAAGTATTTCCCAAAGTTGGACCCTTAAAAATACGACAAGTTCAAGAGTATAGCCGTTTTCCACCATCAGCTACTATCACTCATGACAATGGATCTTTTCTTGACCATGGCACTGAAACCAATCTTAAGGCCCGCTTCACTTAGCTTACAGGGTGTCGATGAGTGCTAGTGAGCCTGACTGGTATCCCCGGGCGTTTCTGCTCTATTTTAGGACCATGTGTCCCAGTAGGTAGACAGAGAGGTGTTTGTTTTTCCAGGCCCACATGACTGTTACACATTCATGAAACACCTTTTCTGTAAAAGCACAGAGTTGGCTTTGAAAGCCCTCCTGCTGTCTCCTGGTAAATATCAGCTGCTAATTAGCGGCTGTTTACATCTTTCACGGCATCGTCTTTTTGGAGGATAGCCGACCTGTTCTGCTACTGATTTTCTGTCTTTACCGATCGATGGACAACACGGCTGCTGTCACGTCTCTGTCCTTTTCCTTCTGTAGGTTTCTGTCTAGAGAAGAAGTAAGAAACCAGCACTTATTGGAAAATATTTTTCTTTGAATGTCTCTTATTGGAAGGAAACTTTTAGAAAATAGACCTTAGAGAAAAGTCCATCTCATGAAAGGAAGTATAATTTATTTTTGCTTGACTTTGAAGTCCTACAAGTGTTATGCAAATTTGACCTCACCTCATGGTTTGTTAAGTTTATTTCTCCCACAAATATAATTTGTTTTCTGGAAGAGAGAACAACCAAAACAATCAATCAATATCTCAGATTTAGTCTAACTGTATTTATGTAACATACTTTAGCTACCTGTGTCTTAAGATTCAGACTTAAAGGTTAGGTAGAGTACAGTGGTGTGTACTAGCCCGCTAAAGCAAAAATCCGCTAATTGCGGACCTAAATTTGCGCTTTAGCGGTCTTACAAATTTTTATAATTCATAAGCYAATTTGCGCTTTTTAAAATTAAAATGCAGTACCGCTAATGACTAATTATCTACCAGTCATATTATCTTGAACAGCAGAAGGTATGGCTGTCAATGAATCAAAACGCACATGATCTATCCAACAGCACCCCTCCCAGATAAACACACTTATTGGAAAGGTATACAGCTGGTATACAGTCACGATTGATTGTGACTGATTTCCCACAATGCTTTGTGTCTGCTTACATAGCATGAAGGCGGTGTTTAGAACTCCCTGTCCCAGCTAAAACAGTTAACGTTTGTAATCCATACAAAAATTTTGTATGTATTAATTTATTTTACTTCACAATTGGAGCTCCTTTTTAAAAAATATAAAGTTTAAACACTGGAGCTCAATACTTGACATAACTGGTTGAAGCAACGGGGTTAGAGACGCAGAAATGATTTAAAGATGTTATGCTGATGAAGACTGACATCTAGTGGTCAACTGGAGCAACTACACGGAAAACGTTAAAATCCAAGCTCTTATTTTGAAGGGAAGATAGTTTCCTGTAATTCGTGCTTTCGTTTCCCATCACAAATCAAATCCGTCATGTACCCAGAATGCATTACTTCAGTTTTCCAATAAATAGTTTTAAAATTACTTTGTTGATGCTTCTTTAATGAAAAATCTACAACAAACAAAAGAAAAAGTAGCAGCCGAACTAGCAATCCTCAACAACTTTTTAATTTTTACACAACGAGGCAAAGGTCTTTTTCAGGAACTCACATCCCCAGCAATCGGCGGTTGTAGGAATAAGTTGTAAAAGAGTTCATACACCACTAGTTGGCAGTGTTGTTAATATATTGTACATGAATTATTGCCAGCTAGTGTCAAATTGAACTTGTGCTTTAAAATTAGCTTCAGCTAGTTTTTCTATGGCATACAGTAAATGCTTTTGAGGTTGCGGACCTAAATATTTACATAAGCGCTATAGAAATTCTGGAAGTAATTTTTGGATTAGCAATGCCCACCACTGGTAGAGTAGATAAATGTCTCAGTTTGGGTAAAATGATACTGAAGTATTTGTGGAAGTGAAGCAACTAATACAGCATATCTTTGAATTTCAAATGAGTTTCAGTACCTGCATCCTGAGCAGGTTTTAATCATACCATTTATGTCATCTATTTGTTGAAATTTGATGTTTCAACCTGATTGGTTTCTACTGTCTCTGAGGTATAAAAGCAATTTAGTGATGTTTTAAGCAAATCGTGTGCAAAAATGAAGCTATGTCGGTGGAATTCAACTCAACTTTTCCATTTCACTGTTCATTTATTCTTCGTGCATTTAAAAAATGTGTTTGTGGAACAAAAGCAATTCCCCAAAATCAAGAGTTCACATTCTTACATTTTACAACATTGACTTGATTTTATTTAGACATGCTTGGCTGAATGAAATATATGCATTTGTATAAACATGTCATCTTTTACTGCCTGCTCTCCCAGGTGGGTTGTCAGGATTCCTGCAGCTGATTTCTCACTTTAGTTGGGTCTAAAGATCTGAGTAATCGTTGTTGTTTTAATTTTATTTCTGATGTTTGAATCTGTTAAAAAAACATCCTAAAATGTTCCTTTTTTGTTACCTTAAATGCATATTAAATAAGCAAAATAAGAAATGGTATGAAGAGAACTTAAAGAAATGAGACCCTTTAGCTCTACTCAGCTGCAGACGTACATTTTTTTGGCAGTGTGATGTCTTAATTAGTGGTTAGCACTAGTTAACTACCACAGGGCTTCAGGCTGTACTTTTTATTCAAAACTGTAGCTAATTGTGTGTGTGTGTGTGTGGCTAAAGCTGGACATCTTTGTTAAAAACTCAGTGACCCAGTAAGCTTCATTCTAAAGTCTTTATACTCATTTGGCACATTTCCCTTTCAGGCACGAGGAGAAAAAAAGCTTTGTTGCACATATTTTCTTTTATCCCATGTTTTGTAGTACAACATGCATGTCTTTTGTCACCACAGATGTTCTTGTGTTTGTGGGAAATGACTGTGTGATGTTTCTGTTTTAGTGAACCGGCGCCTGGAAAAAGAAGTGTAGAAGAAACCACCAGACTGGAGATATCGTGAGTACAGGCAAAAAAAAAAAAACCTCCCTGTCTTATGACCTGTTCATGTAATGGTGCAGAATAATGTGTGCTGTACGACCCCCAAATTGCAAATTTTCCCTCAATTGTTCAATTTGTAAAAAAAAGGCTAATTATATTTACAGAAAATGACATCTTAGCCCCTGTTTTTCTCTGACGCATGCACACAGAATCAATCAAATCAGTGGATCCAACAGGGAGCCAGGATGCTTGATGGCCTCTGGTCTCATTTGAGATGCAGACATTGTCCTGTTGCTTCCTTTAATGAGATCTGGAGGCGTGCAATCTAATATTCACCAGTGAGGCTCCAACATGGCCCCCCGAGCCTGCAGCCAAGAAAACTGTGTGTTAATTCAATGGAGCGAAGTCAGCTGTGATCAGAAGGGCTGGAGTGGCCATTCAGTCAGGAGGATCAGAGCCACTGGCTTTTTATACACTCCTCARTTTTGTTTATGCCTCACTTAACAGGCTGGACTTTTGCATAAATATTTCAGTAAATATTATTCACAAAGAGATGCTTTGGGCCTGAAAAACCCCCAGGTGTTGGACCAAAACACAAAGGCTGCCTTTGAATAACAAATCGAAATGTTGCAGAGAGATTGTTCTCGCAATTGTCTAAGCTTTTTCCTGAACTCACTCAAATGTTTGTGCCCTAATTTTTCTAATTTAAAAAAGCTTTAGCTTGTATACAAAAGTAAATAACATCTGCTGTTATGTTTCTGTCTCTCCGAATCAAAGCCTTTCTTCTGGGTTGTTCTAAATCTCGTAAACGTGTGCGGAGATTATTTTCAGACTCAGCGCAGGAACGATGCAATGAGGAGCAAAACCAGACGTCTACGAGTCCGGACAACTTTTCAAATCTGAACAGATCAGATCACTTTTTTTTGTTTAAAGCTTTTAAAGATTAACTGAAAGTTAAAAGTAGCAAAAGTCTAGATATATGCTAAAATTAAAAGTTTGGTTTAAAACTGAAATTAGCCATAAGTTACTAAAAGCTAAAAGCAGCAGAATAGCAGTAAAAACTCAGAGGCTAGCTCAAAGCTAAACTAGCTAAAGGTTGGAGGACAGTAAAGGTGCAATGAAAATGATTTAATAGAGAATAGTGTACTTTAAAGGAAGGTTTATTTCTATGGAGAAAATATTAGCAGGTAAAGGTACATATTTTAAAAGCTATAACATTTATATTTTAAAAGAATTACATTATAAATGTCTTTCATGACCATTCTGACACACAAATGTTAAGAAAGATTGCAAAAGTAGCTAGATTACAAAACAACAAAACTTTATAAATTAGGAAAACAATAGTGTGACTTGTGACTCAGCATTCACACATGTTGAGTTTTGACAAGGAGTTTTACTAAAAACTGTTATTTTCAGACAAGATGTCCAACTCCTCTTTGTCGAGAGCCGCACTTTGACCAAGACTGAAAGGATTTCAGTAATTAAAATAACCTGATTAGACACAAATCTTCAAAGCAATTTTCTCTGGTTTGATGTTTTGTTTAATTTACGTGACTGCATCCCATTCTAACTGGAACTTAACCATTTTTATTAGCTAAGAAATTAGCAGCAAATCTGAAGAGTATCCAGCTCTGCAGAGACTGTAGATGACTTCATTGCATTTTGTTCCTCGTTTTATTTTATTTATTTAAAAACAATCATTTGCAAGATATATAGTATTGTGTGTAACATATGGAATTTTATTGTCTGGAATTTGTTGGTTTTATTTATTTGTAGTTCTAAAACTTCTCAATTTTACTCTTAAACATAATCACAGTCGACAGAAGGTTAGAAAAACAATAAGATGTGGCTGACAATGCAATGTCATGTATTTAATTTATTCATAAAAATAAATTAAGATGAACAAAATGAATTATCTTACTATAACCCTGTGATGTAGTGTAGGAAACATCCACTCCTCCCCCCTGGTTGATAACTCTTCATCTGTCCCAGCTGTCAGCAGTGATGGATAGACTTTATACTTCCCACTTTCACTTGTCTGAGTTTGCTGTTTATGCTTCATAATTTAGCTTCACTTCCTGAGATGTTTCAGCCTTCTCCCATTAACAAACTTATTAATCATCCTTTGTGGCATYTGATTGACTTAAAGTCCTAGCACAAGTCAGATTTGCCTGAGGGAAGTAAAACACCTGGACATCCGTAACTCAAATATCCCCAAAACAACTTCWATTATTTCTATTAAATTTTCTATTTATTCTATTATCAAACTGTAGTTTTTTTGCTGGACTGAAATACTGTTCTCTCATTATATTCAAAGTTTTTTTTTCTTTTCTAAAATCTTCTTCTCCATTCAGTAATTTGCTGCTGGTCTGACAGGATTTGCCGTTACAGTGAGTTTCAGTGAGTTTTGCACAAACAGCTCTGTAACGACCTGACATCTTAGGAATTGTTGTGAAATTCACATCAGCTTAAAGTGGCTGTTCTCCGTGTTCACCCAGCCTTATTAAAATGCTAAAATCAGGGTTCTGAAAAATAGCTGAAACACACGGCGCAGCGATCTTCCAAACCATTAGATTTGGTGATTTTCTGTTTATTAATCCGTTTGAATTTTATATTGTGCTTTTTAGTTCTCAAAAAGTTTCCCCAACTGACACCTTACTTCTAAAAACTGCTCTAAATATTTTTCTTACGCCCCTGGAAGTTGGCCAAAGCAGAAAAATAATATTTATTAAAAAAAATTGTATGTTTTAATTATCAAAACAGCACCTATGAGTTTACTGAAGTCAACACATTTATAATAACTATCTAATATTTCACAGATGGGCCACTCAGTCAGAACCAGCCTCATTCTTTACTATTTCTGTTGTCTCTGCCTGCACAGAGAGGAAAATAAAACTCTTCCTGCCCTCTGTTAGTTTTGTATTCAGCAGTGTTTCTTTTCAAAAAGGGACAGGCAGAATTCCTTGTTTCTCATTTTAATCTTGCTGAGCTGCTATTTCATTTCCTGCCTTGTTCATTAAATCAAACCGGAGCCTGTCATTTCATGATAGTGGGCTCGCATCATACACACACTGTTTTTCATTTGACTTGCACAATTTCTTACACACAGTAATGAAAAGTGGTGTTCATTAATGGGTGTTTTGTAACATCATTTATGAATCAATTTAAATAGTACGTTTTAAATTATATCCATCCATCCATCCATCCATCCATCCATCCATCCATCCATCCATCCATCCATCCATCCATCCATCCATCCATCCATCCATCCATCCATCCATCCTCAGCTGATTGTTCTGGATTTAGTGGCAGCAGCTTGAGCAGAAACACCCAGACACATAAATGGACTGATGAGCACAAAGCTTTGCCACGTTGTAAAACAATTATTGGTAATGCACACAAACTGTTTTTAATTCTTCAACTAGTTGTGCACATTCATATAGTTAAATTTTGAGCACAGAACTTCATGAAATTTTTTACAAGTTGAATTATTTTAAACAAACCTGTAAAATTGTTTCAATTGGGAATTGCCAGATGTTGTTCCTTCTGATGCTTTATTAGCTCGTCCTGCATTCGATATTTTGGACTGAATTTAAAGTTAAACCTACTAGTGAGAATCATCCACTTTCATCTGATTTAAGTTGTCCATTATTGTGGATTAACTCTGTCAGCTGAAACTGAAGTGGATCAAGAGTGTTTTTGAAATGGAACAAATTATTTAGTAGCTGTCATGAAATATTTCCCTAATACAGTATGTCATTGCACTTACTTTAAAGCTTTGAAACTGTTTCCAATTTATTGCTTTTTCAGTGCTAAAGTTGCAATTTAAATGTTAACRTAAAACTACTAAATTCTTGTACTAAAATTTTAGGGTATAAGTAAATACTTATATTTAACATACTGTCTTAATACACCTACAAKGTAAACTAGGCCATAAACACCTACATATTTTCTTGCACCCATTTACTTTGATCTTCTTTTTAGGTTTTAGCGTGTTTTAAAGCAGCCACTTAGTGTGCAGTGACCATCAGATATCTGCCAGTGCAACTTCATGATCTTCACATCATCAGAATAAAACCTCCCCCCTGGACAAACATAAGAGAAGACAACACATGAGGGAGGATGGTCTGGCATGTTCAAAATGGCCACGGGGACGCCATTTCCCACAGTGCTCCAATTCCCCCGACTCTGCGGTGCCAATCTGTCCTTTGTGAGCCAAAGCGACTCAGACACTTTGCGGTCACCYTGGGCTGGGGGAGATATGACAAATACAAAAGGCAGACCCTGTTTGCTTCCCTTCCCGTGAGAGAGGAACGTGTGGCTTATTGATACGGTATGAGCTTAGCTGTCAAAGACTCTTTTGGTCTTTTTGGAGGCTTTTCAGTTTTTCTATTTTCAGGTTCTTACTTTTAGTTAGAAATAGAAGCTGAGCTGTGGGTTTTATAAAGTCTGGATGAATTTCAAATATTTAGTGTCCTCAGAGTGCAGCAAATCTTGAGTTGATAATGGAAAGCATTAGCATAATAATTGGTAAACATCTGACTTTAATTACTGTGACTCTTTTCAAGCTGCTTTTTGGAGGGCTTCTGCAGATTTGTTGTCAGAATCCTGAGGCTGAAGACTTGAGCCCAGGTTTTGTCAGAAAGGCCATCTGATTAAAAAATAAAATAAAATGAAACATAGCCAAATCTCTTGTGCAAGTGGTGACCCCTGCAGAAAGGAGCATCTGAAAATAACCTTTTTCAAGCTGTTTAATGTGAAAATATTTATAGTTATGTTTTAAAAAAAGATACACAAAAGTTTTCATGTTTGAGGCACTCAAAACACCAATCAACCACCTTAGGGCAGCTGTGGCAGAGTGGGGAGGGGAGTTGTCCTGGAACCGGTAGTTTACCAGTTCAGTCCCCCGTTCCAGTTGTCTCAGTTGTCCTTGGGCAAGACACTTAACCCCCACTGCCTCTGATGTGTGTCCCATCAATGTATGAATATGATTAGCACTGATTTGTCTCTATAGATGA